ACGTTTTTCTCAAACCGGGGCCCCTTTAGGATGGGCGGCCCCCACCTCCCAGAATCCCCAAGCCAGCATGGCCAGCTGGGGAATTCTGGGAGTTGAAGTCCACTCATCTTAAAGTGGCCACGTTTGGACAACACTGCCTTAGAAGGAAAACACTATGAAATAGGTGGTGGCGTACGCAAAGTTCTCATTTGCAAAACCCGGTTCACACAACATACTGTACTCAGGTTAATAAAACTCAGTACTTGTATTCACAAGACATGCTACGCCTAACAAGTAACTTAACATGGATTGACAGAATGGCCTGGTTCACACAAAGTATCAAAGGGTTGGATTCCCACAACACACTGAACTACAAATAACCAATTTAGTCTCCTGCATCCAGTCTTAATGTTGCGTTAATGAAACAACCACCTGATAGTTGGCCATTAGACCATTGTGGGACAGCTGAACCCACAGTTCTGGATGCCGCTTGGCATCCCAAAACGTGTTCAGCAGTCAGTTGCCTGCAGCACCCAGCCTGCCAGCTGTTCTTCAGCCTCCCCGCCATTCCTACGTTGCCATGCCAACCGCGAGCCCTTTTCCAGACTCAGCTCCGTGTAGCACCAAATGCTTCTCTCTGGGAACAGCAGCCAGCAGCACAGAAAGTTCCTAAAAGCTACAGAACGGCCGATGCCCGCTGAGTTCTTTGCGTTCCCCCAGCAGAAAACAACCCATCGAGTTTTCAAGGGAAGCTGAGAGGAGCCAGAGCGCAGGCGACCCCTTTCTCCATCCCAGCCAGAGAAGACAGGCTACAGACCTGTGAAGCGGATTTCAGTTGACTGCAAATCAGCCAAGAGTCACTTGTCACTCAACTAAACACCAGATATTTGCTTTCTATTAACTTCTCTCCCTTTAAAGAGTGTCCATCTACCTTTACATTTGGCACTGGGGCTCTGAAAGAAATTGTCTTGGGAACAATTTCTTGAGAAATGTCTTCTCTTTGTGGAAGAGAAAAGTCTTGATGCCTAGAAACAGTGACCTTGGAGCTCTGATTTAGCCTGGACATGCTGACTGCTGACCTTGGGGCTTTTCCTACACAATTCCTGATGGGTGGAAATTCCCTTGAACATGCAACATGTCTAAAATCCATAGGATAAGGATCAAAATGGGAGCCTCCATTTTTCTCCACCCAACATACTTGAAACATGGGACAAGAGTTGCTCAGCTGACCTTCCTCATGGTAATGTCCCTGCACTCTGACTGACTCCAACCCAGTGTGGGATCTACACCCCAAAGCCAACCAATAAACAGCTGCTACTTCCCATTGTTAACCACTGTTAATTTTTTTTTCTTTTTTTGGCGGGGCTGCCTTCAAGTCAGCTTTTGACTCTTGGCAACTACCTGGACTAGTCCCTGCAATTTACTTGGCAAGATTTTTCAGAAGTGGCTTGCCCTTGCCTGCTTCCTAGGGCTGAGGCAGAGTGACCGGCTCAACGTCACCCAGCTGGCTTTGAGCCTAAGGTGGGACTAGAACTCAGGGTGTCCTGGTTTCTAACCTGGTACCTTAACCACTACAACCAAACTGGCTCTATTTTTAACTTAGATTCCCTCTAATATGCTTTATTGGTAGAAAAGTCTTCAGGCTAGTATATTTGCTAGGTTGTTTTTAGTAACTGCATGCTCATGACCAGGTAGACATGGGTCATATTTCAAATTCTTGTTGCATCTGGCAGACCAGTGGTGGCAGAAACCCTACGCTCAGCCCCATACAGCCCCATAACTCCTTTCAGCTAAAGAGAAGCAAGATCTGTCAAGAAGAACAATTTCTATTTGTCAATGGGCCATCTGTCATAGAAAGCGATAGTTTGGTTAACCATGGTCAGTTTAATGAACTGCAACTGGCTAAGTTTGTGGGATACACTGCAGTATAAATGGCCACATACAAACTACCATAGCAGGATTTACACAACAGGCGAGCCAAAATCACACAAACCACATTATGGTTTAACCGCATCATACAACAGCTCCTGTCCTGCCCCCCCCCCGCCCCGCCAACATTACTGCAAGATCTACTTAGTTTGTTTCCAAATTCTCAGAATATTAGGCCTATGTTTTCAAGCTTATATCCACAATCCAGAGATTTATATTATTAAAAAGAACCACTGAGGTTGTAAAAATAAGTCTCACACATTCCTTTGCAGGGGTCCAGGAAACACATCTATCCCCACTTACTTGGAAGCCAGACCCACTGACTTACAGGCCTCATTAGTGTCAGATGGGAGACCACCAGGAGATTCTGCGGCTGTAGGCTGAAAGTAAAACAAACAACAAAAAAGATCCCACAAGAAGTCAGTTGCAAGCCCCATCCACGTTACTGTCAAGGAACCACCTGGCCACGTTCATGAAGTCACCTTTGACACAAAGGAGACTTTACTTTTTATCCATTATCCTCAGAATGACTCCCCAGTAAACCTGCACAGTCATAGGTCAGTCACAATGATCAGAACTAATACAGGAAGGGATTAAGTGAATCATTTTCATTGATCTACAGCATTCACCAAAAGATCAGCCAAGCCTGATTAGAACGAGTGCTTAGTTACTGCTTAGAAAAGACTCAATCCTATCACTTTTTCACATCCAAGAAGCTGGTGATGGCCGAGGGCACCGCCTTTTGGTGCAAAAAGGACAAAGGCAGAGGAAGACCTGGGCAGGAAGCAAACAGCCTTTCCCTGCCCCGCTTCCCGGCCCCAGAGAAGCCCTGCAGGTCCGCTCCATTCGCCCCCGGGCTCTGCTGGGCTGCACGGCACAGGGGCCGACCCGCCTTCCCATCTGCTTCACCCCTGGCCAAACAAGGCTCCCGGCAACAAGAGCCTCAGCCGGCTCTCTGCAGCGGCTTTGACATCTGGAGGCCTCAAACTCAGGAATCCCAACCCGCCTTGCATGGGGATTCTGTATCTACAAGGCTAAAAAAAGCACAATTAATCTGTATTTATGCAGCTCCC